CATGCAGCTCTTTGGCCCCTTGAGTGTGGCTCTTCCACAAAACACCACATGCGGGCGTGCATGTACAGTGCGATTGAAACTTCGTGGCCCATGCGCAGAAGTCGGTTTTCGGAAAGGAGATAGACGAAACAAGTATACAAGACGAGTGTGGATGGGAGAGTTGGAAGGGGTCGACCTCAGCGAATGTACCTCAATCAGATTGAGGACATTTTTAGTAAAGGCCAGCTTAGGAGTACCCTAATTAAGTTAATAACAATGTACCTACCTATAGTTTAAGAAACTTGGCTCTCAAAAGAAATTTCAATCGTACTGTTGATATTTGGCTCTGTTGACTAATGAGTTTGCTGACCACTGTCCTAGGCCAAGCAGATCTCCCCGGAACTGTCGGCCCTGGCCGTGTACTGCTGTGCCACGCGCCTTCGGACCCTGCGCCCTGCCCCCGTCCCACCCCAGCCCTACCAGGTCAGCTCTCTCAGCGAGCGCAAGGCCAAGAAGCTCATTCGAGAGGCAGGTAGGAGCCAGGATAGCTGGCATCTGGGGGCAGGAGGCCAGTGGGGGCCTCTAGGATCCTGGGGGAGCATCCTGAAGTTGGTCTGGAAAGGAGATTGAGAGGCTTTGGGGGGCGGTAAAGAGGTCAGGAAGACCCCAGAGAGGGGCTCAGAATGAGTGCCCAGTACCAGGCCCGGCATGCAGGGAGAGGGCCCAGGGAAGAGGGCGCACAGCCTAGTGATGGGCCAGACAGAGCTGGGTAACTATGATGCAGGGTGATCAGCTGGGCCAGGATAGGGAGGGTCTGGAGGAGCCCAGCACAAGGAGGCGAGATCAGGGCAAGATTGCTGAGCAGGTGAGGAGGAAGCCACCAGGCGACGAGGGGGAAGGGGTGTCCAGACAGGAGGGGCAGGTTGCACCAAGGCCTGGAAGCATGATACACAGTGTTCCAGGAAGCCAGTGTGGCTGGAGGGTGTGTGGGACGAGTGATGACACACAGGATGTCAGCCTGGGGCCAGGTGTTCCATGTGCTGAGTCAGGAATGTGGGGATTTGGGGCTGGGATGCAGTGAGGGCTGTGGGAGCGGTCCCTGCCCCTCCCTGGACTTCAGCAACCTCCTCATGAGGTTCCCACACCCACTGTGTCAGAGAGAAGAGGAGCTGGGGCAGGGGAAGTGGGAATGGAAATTCAGCCTGTTCCCAGCCTGTCCCTGGAGTTGGGGTTACAGCCCCTGACACCAGGTGAGGGTACCCCAGGAGCTTCTCACAATACCACCGAACTCCCCACCAGGGAACAGCTTTGTCAGGCACAATACCCGGCAACTGACCCGTGTCTACCCATCGGGGCTTCGGATGAACTCGGCCAACTACAGCCCCCAGGAGATGTGGAACTCAGGCTGTCAGCTGGGTGAGTGGCTGCAGAGCTGGGAGGGGGCCGGTGCTTTGTGGGGTGGCCTCTGGGGCGTCATAGCAGGCCCAGCAGTGATGGGGCCACACAGCTTACCAGGTGGAAAACTGTTTTGTTGATAATAACATTTATTAAAAACTTGTGAGCGGGGTATGTGAGGAAACACAAATCAGGCTTGTTCTTTTTTTTTTTTTTTAAATGTATTTCTGTTGATTTCAGAGAGAAAGGAACAGGGAGAGAGAGATAGAAACATCAATGATAAGAGAGAATCATTGATCAGCTGCTTCCTGCACACCCCACATTGGGGATAGAGCCAGCAACCCAGGCATGTGCCCTGACTGGGAATCAAACTGTGACCTCCTGGTTCACAGGTCGACGCTCAACCACTGAGCCCCTCTTGGCTCCTGGGTCAACACTCAGCCGCTGAGCCACACTGGCCGGGCTCATTTGTTCCTGACTATGTAAAAGTCTCACATTTTTTATGAAGGTAGAAGTTAGAAATCTCCACCCCCAGGCGCCCCCTTGACACATACACGCACACATACCCCTGGCAATCCCGTGCTGAGCCCAAGGGAGGGGAGTGTGGTCCCTGAGGGGTAGGTGTAGAAACCTCAGGCCTCAGCTCTGGCCCAGGCCTGGCCCTGCAGGTGGAGGCTTCTCTAACATGCCCCCCTCAGGCCCACATTCCAGCCTCAAGAGATACCAGGTTGCCTGGCTGGAGGGGCTCAGTGGTTGAGCGTCGACCTGTGAACCAGGAGGTCACTCACGGTTTGATTCCCGGTCAGGGCACATGCCGGGTTTCGGGCTTGGTCCCCAGTGTGGGGCGTGCAGGAGGCAGCCGATCAATTATTCTCTCTCATCATTGATGTTTCTCTCTTACTCTCTCCCTTCCTCTCTGTAATCAATAAAAAAGAAAAAAGATACGAGGTGACAGTAGAGTCTAGATCGCCTGGCTGCCATGACACACCCACTCCCTCCCCACCACCTCATGGTGGGTACGAGCAGCACTGCCCGGATCTGGGCCTTTTGGAGGAGCTAGTTCTGCACCTATAGGGCTGTGTGGGGGAGAGGGCAGTGAGGCCCCTGAAACAGCGTGAGGAGAGGGCCACAAAGAGCCCGTCCTGACCCCGCTGTGTCCACAGTGGCCCTGAACTTCCAGACGCCAGGCTACGAGATGGACCTCAATGCGGGGCGCTTCCTCGTCAACGGGCAGTGCGGCTATGTCCTGAAACCTGCCTGCCTGCGGCAGCCTGACACAAACTTTGACCCCGAGAGCCCTGGACCCCCCAGAACTACTCTCACCATCCAGGTTAGCAGCCTGGGCCAGGCCCTACCCTGGGCTCAGAGCCGGCTAGTCCGAGGGCACCAGCCTGAAGTGGAGGAAGATGGCGGAGGCCTGGGGACTGCGTGGTGGGCAGAGCGGGCAGGGGCCCCAGGCGGGGCCAGGCTGAAGCTCTTCATCCCCCGCAGGTGCTGACTGCACAGCAGCTGCCCAAGCTGAATGCTGAGAAGCCGAGCTCCATTGTGGACCCCCTGGTGCGTGTTGAGATCTACGGGGTGCCCATGGACTGTGCTCGAAAGGAGACCGACTACGTGCTTAACAATGGTGGGTGGGCCTGCTGGTGGAGGTGGGTGGGCAGACAGCAGAGTGCAGGGAGGTGCAGGGCAGAGGCCGGCTGGCTCCGACCACCACGCCTGTTTGTGTCCTAGGCTTCAACCCCCACTGGGGGCAGACCCTGCAGTTCCAGCTGCGGGCTCCAGAGCTGGTGCTGGTCCGGTTTGTGGTAGAAGATTATGACACCACGTCCCCCAATGACTTTGTGGGCCAGTTTACACTGCCTCTCAACAGCCTGAAGCAAGGTAGGCGGGGATGGGAAGGGAGGGGTCCGGCCCACAGACGCTGCTCGCCTGCGCTGTGACTTTGTGAGCGCCTTTCCTGAGTGAGGCCCCAGCGGGGCCCAGCCCCCAGGGAGGGGATGTGGGCAGGGTGATGGGCAGCAAATCTGATGCCTGGCTGCCCTCCCCACAGGGTACCGCCACATCCACCTGCTTTCCAAGGACGGGGCCTCACTGTCACCAGCCACGATCTTCGTCCACATCCGAGTCCAGCACTCCCGAGGGCCCGACTGACCCCCTGCGGACACAGCTGCGAGCAGCGGTGAGGCCTCCTCTCAGTGGAGGGCAGTGGTGTACCCGGCCAGCCAGGTGCTGGGCTGCCTCAGTGCCGCCTAAAGAACAGGGGGGTTATCTCTTTCCTGCACCTGAGATGGCCGAGGACTCAAGGAGCCGGGCCACCTTTCATTGTGATTTATCAGGAGCCAGGCCTGCTACTGCCAGGAGACCTGGGGAGCAGGACATACGAACCCTCAGCCCCTCTGCCCGAGAGGAGTCCAGCCACGGCCTCACCCCACCCAGGCATTGGCCACCCCCTAAGACTCCCTCCTCAGGTTTCCCTGGACTCTTCTCTCCGGCTTTTGAACCTGAGCTCCCTTCCCTTGTTAAAGCGAGAAGGGAGAGCTGAGGTTGGGAGCCCTGGGGACTGAGAAGTAGGTTTTTAGCTCGTTTCATAGAAGAGCCCTGAGAGGGCAGTAGAACAAGACTGTTTTAAAAAATAAAGCAGCAAGCTTCCTTTATCACCGCCACCGTGAGCACGTGAGGCCGCAGGGCCCTGAGGAGGATGGGGCAGAGTCCCTTGGGCCTCTTCCCAGCAGGGCTTGGATCTGACTGCCAGGGGGTGCTGCAGGCGGACTGTGAGGACACTCACACGCTGCCCCACCAACCCTCCGAGGGGCCTGGACTCTGAGGGGCCCCAGACAGACCCCCCACTTTCCAGGCTCAGCGGGGTTCAAGGCCTCTGTCTACTCAGTAGACAAATCCCAGACTTGGGGCTCACCTTCCACCAGCCAACCAGACTTTGAGATGAAGGCCGGAGGCAGCGGCTGCTCCGGGCTACTCTAGCGATGCTGGGAGAGTGTGCAGACAACAGATGAGAGTCCAGAGCAAACCTGTCGGAAAGGTGGCCTTCGAGGGTTAAATGTGGATTCAGGCATCAGCACTAGCACTGAGCAAGGGCAGAGCTCGAGAGCAGTCCCTGGAGGCAGCTCATGTCCTCAGGCAGCTCAGGGTCCAGGTTCCCTGGAAAGGGCCGAGGCACCAGCCATGGGGGCCTGAAAGGAGCAGGAGCAGGGGCCGGGGAGCGGGTGACAAGCTCCACAGGAAGAGAACAGGGATGGAAGGCCCCGCAGAAGCTGGCTCAGTAGGTGGGCAGTGGGGCCTGGTGACCTGCAGTGTTAAAAGCACCCCTGGTGGCTCCAGACCCCTGGCCCAGAAGGAAAGAGGTGGCATCGGCCGAGTCAGAGGAGCCGCTGCTGACCCAGACCCAAGGGGCCCACCTGCTCCCAGCTGTGGGAGCCCGGCACTGGCTCCTCGGCCAAGGTGCCCGGCACTGGCTGGCACAGAGCCCAGCCGCTCCTCTTACACGGAGTGAAGCTGGGTCAGTACTGGCTCCTCGCTGGCGCCTGAGGACTGGGGAAAGGAGCCAAGTTTGCACTGAGAGGGGGCAGCCTTCCCATGAGTCTTCAAAAGTTGCCCAGGGCTGTGATCATAACAGCCTTTCCCGCAGGGCACTGCCGCTCAGGGGGAGAGGGCACCCTAGCCAAGCCGGGGCTGCCAGCGGCTCCACGGCTACTTGCTGTCCACAGCAAAACCAGGAGGGCGGAAGGTTTTATTCAGCTGCTTCCTTTATTAGAAACCAGTGAGATGTATCAAGCGGAACAATGCATTTGGTATTTCTTCCCCCGCCCTGGGAACGGGGGCTCTCCCATAGCCCAGAGAAAAGCCAAGACGAAAAGGTACAGCCTCCCCTTCCCTGTTCCAAGATGCAGCACCTGCAGTCAGTCAATATTTTTTATTTAATTGAATGAAACCATCCCACAGAGCCTCCCCAGGGACAGTGTGTGCAGGCCTGCTTTCACTTTGCAGGGCAAAACTGAAGCCTTGGGCCGCCTCTGACGGGCAGGTTGGCACTGACCAGATACAAACCTGCCCCCTCCCCTGGTCTGACCGCCCTTCACCCTCTCCTAGACTGCAGCTACCTGAAGCTATCCAGGCCTTTGGGACACCCCTTGGGTTGGTGAAATGCTGGTCATCTTGGAGCAAAGAATTAAAGACAACTGGGACACCCACCCTCGGGCTTCAGTGAGCCAGCAAGTAGGGGGGCTGGCAGAAGGAGGTGCAGAAAAGGCCCGACATTTTCCATAAACCCAGGTGTTGAAGTGGCTCAGTGTGGGCCGGCCTTCAAACCAGACATTAGCGTCTTTGCATGCAGGCATGTGCGGGGTAACAAGCCCTTACAGACCTCAATCCAGCTCTCTCCCTACACAGACAGGGAGGCCACAGGGATTTGCCAGGGAGTCAGGGATCAAATGCAGAGTCAATCCAAAGGCAGGAGATAAACATATAGAAACACGAGTGTCCAAAAGCCCAGTGTCAGCAAGGAGTGGAGGCGGCAGAGTATGAGGGCCATGCCCGGAGGCTCTCCAGTAGCAGCTGCCGGAGGCAGGTCCCAGGTCCTTCCCTTGTTTGGTTCTATCCAGCCATGGCTCCACCATCCTGCAAAGCTCCCTGTGAGAGGCCTTGAATCCCAAACAGTGGTCCTCTCTGACCTGAAGTCCTGGAAGGGGTGGAGTGAAGGACCCAGGGACCGTTTGGACAAAAAGGAAGCCAGCAGCAGCCACTGAGCCACCTCCCGAAGACCTGGCGGTGGTGCTGAGGGCGGGCAGGGTCCCTACATGAACGACTGGAGTCCACGGAGGGGCCACGTGGTTTTGGAGGGAGACACGGGCCTTTCCAGGAGATCTGTTTCTTCCAGAGCAGCCACCGGCCTCACAGTTTCCCTTCCATGACCTGGGTCAAGCCAAGCAAACTCCAGGGGCTGTTGTGCACCCCACATTCCAGAGGCAGTCAGGCTGGGACTTGGCCCAGACAGAGAGCGTCTCCAAGTTTCAGTCCTGCCCAGGTAGGAAAGAGCTGGGCACTGTGTTCTTTGATATCCTTAGGAGCCTGCACTGGGCGAGCTGCTCTGGGCTCAGGGCCTTGTGTCTGATGTCTCAGAAGCTGTAAGGCAAGCCTCCACCTCTCTGACCCCTTGTCTGTGGAATGCAGGGAACACCTTGCTAAGAACAGCAGCTTCTTTGGTCTGGGTATCTTGGAGTCAAGGAGTCAAAGGTCAGCCATGGTCCCTGGTGCCTGCAGGTTGCAGAGCAGGGACAACAGGAGAAGGAGGCCCCTAGAGGCCTGATGCGAACCCAATCCAGTCCACCAAGAGCAGGCAACATTCCAGCAGGTGGCACAGCCCCGATCCCAAGCACATGATTTCTTCCAGCTTCGGGGACAGCAGAATGAACCTCTGGCCAACCTCACCCAAACCCACAGCCTCCAACAGCTCTGCTAGCCTGTAGGGCATGGCTGTAGCCGGTAAGACCAGACTGAGTCTGGCCTCCTGGCTAAGACTTCCTTCCCCCTACAAGTAGCTGAGAGGTGAAAGCAGCCAGGAAGCAGTCACACCACGTTATCCACCCACTTCCTTTGTCCTAGAGCAAAAGTCACATACAAACCTGGATGTGGGTTGCTGACAATTCCAACCAAATCCTCCCTAAGTCAGTTGGCTGAGCACACGTGAGGAATAGGAATGCCTACACAGCCGCCACGTGACCGGAGGTCCCACTACTGTGGGGAAACGGGCAGCATCACAACCATCACCACCACCACCACAAAAATCCACCGAACATCATCAGACAATGGCAACATGAAATCATGTCTGTTAAGTTCAGATTGGCGTCTAACCACCGCTCCTTGCCATTCCTCGCAGGCTGTCTTGGAAAGGAGCACAAGAGATGGCCAATGGGTTGGAAGGCACAGGCCAGGGGCCTGGGAACCCACACCGTCCTTGCCCAGCCACCCTGGGGGCGTGAGGGTGCTGGCTCTTTGCTCTAAGATGAGCTAACCAGGCCTTGCACTGACATGGTCTCCACAAAGTCCCAAATGCTACAAGGAGGTCAAAGGTCCCCTTCAAACTGCCAGTCACCCCTGGAAATGGAAAAACAATCTCATGGGGCACTCACGCCTATAAGATTGGCAACAGCTGGCTAAAGAGTTGGCAGGATGACTTCCAACAGGGAGCAGGCCAAGCGGATGGGAGAAGGGACTCATTTAATGAAATCTGCTTCCACAGATCACCACCACGGCCCTGTTTCTGAATGCAGAAAAGGCCCGGGCCTGCGGGTAAGCCTCTGAGTAGGACTGGCTCCACCTAGGACTCCACCTGCAGTCTGTGAGATCCAGGCCCTCCCCACAGCTTGGCAGTCCCTCCACCTTACTCTGCCTTCTCAAAGCCAATCATTCCAGCCAATTCAGAAGGGGAACTGGACAGAACTGCCCACATCCTCTTTCTCCTGCTCCCCCAAGAAAAGCCAATACCTGCTTTCAGAAGAGAACAATGCACTGTCGCAATGTGTACGTCTGGCACTGTCCTTGATTCTAATTTTCAGGAATGATCTGAATTCAGCTTTTCATTAGAGACCGAACATCCTTGTACATTTGGAACATGAAAGATATTTAAAATATTTATATATATATAATATATACTTTTATTATTCACCCGTTAACTCCATAATATGCCAATCACGAGCTAGTTTTCAGCAGTTACATTCCCTTGATCGTGGCTGCATAAGGATGTGATTAACTGGAAAACAGGGAGACCAGAGACACGGCCAGAGGTGACATCACGCAGCCTACGCCATCGCAAAACAATTGTCAAGTTCAGTGGCGGTTTGGTTAAGCCGGTTCACTTCTGTTCCCTTTGCCAGGGATTCTCACGTTTGTGAAAATTGGACCAACAAGTGGTGGGATTCCATTTCCTGGTTTGAATTCTCAGTGGCTTTATCCAGAATCTCACTGACAACTGGTTACTGTAACACCAGCCCAACCTAGGAGAGCCAATCGGAGAGGCAGAGTTGAGTTGACAGTTGTGTGAAGCCCCTCCCACTTCCCCACGGACCTGACGTGCCAAATGGCTGAGCCCACAGTGCTGCTCGGCTGTGGGAGCAGACGCACAGCGAGGCGAGGCTCACGCTCAACCTTTACATTTATCATGTCCTTTAAGGAGAGCAGCTGCCAGTGTCTCGAGCACTGGTCAGTAGGCCTCTCCGTCCAGCAGTTATTTTGTTAACTGCTGACCACACCATGGTCCTGGGCTGCCCTTTGGAGCTGGTGGAGGAAGAAGGGCCGAGGTGGGTGGAAGAAGGGCTGGATGAGGGCAGCAGCCAGCAGAGGAAAATGCCCTCGACCCTTGACTCTAACCTTCGTGGCTCACAGTGGGCAATTCACTTGCAGGGTTCCCTGAGAGAGTCCCAAATGCCCTGCCCCAGCCAGCGGAAGTGACTCACCTGGCGGGAAGAGAAGCTGGAGACAACCCTGCTTCTGTGGCTCTGGAGCCCAGCCCCTCTGCCACCCTCACACTAGTCTGGCCATTAGAGAGAGGGAACTTTTCAGGCCCAGTAGCTTACATACCTTCTCTGCCCCCATGCTGGGGCACTTCCAATTGTAAAGATAATACTGCAGGTTGCCGTCCCCTATGCCAAACTTCAGCTTCTCCAAGAAGGTTTTGTTCTCCATGAGATCCAGTGCATTGAACACGTCAAACCCTTTCTGTACAGCAACAAGGAGCAAGAGAGCAGGTGAGGAGGGGTAAAAGCTGCCTCACCTCCCTGCCCTTTTCTATCCTGTCAGAGCCATCCCACAGGCGGCCACAGGCAATCTTCCTTCGAAGCTCTGGCTGCTTCCTGTCGAATTCCAACTCCAGAGAGCACCCGCTCGCTAGTGGCGGTTCTCAGACACCGAGGCCGTACTACCTGCCTCTCCTCGGGGAGCCTCCAAGCACACTGTGTCCTCACTGTTCCTGTCGCACGTCCCTGAAATACTCGAGTAACCGCCACAGTCCTCGCTGGAGACCCAGCCCGGAACCCCTTCCTTGGGGAAGCTAGCTCCTGTCAGCACTGGCACTGCTCCCTCACTCCCTGGACACCTCAACTCGTAGGCCTTCAGTGTACGCCCTGTGACTTCAGCACACCAGATGCGCTGCTTTGAGACTGTGATGAAGATACTTCCTACACCTCACCACCTTGGTCAGAAGCTCTCCCAGGGTAAGGACTGGACTGCCCATCGTCTAGCTCAGCGGTCGCCAACCGGTGGTCCGAGGACCACTAGCGGTCCGTGAGGTCCGAAAGGTTGCGACCGCTGGTCTAGCTGTCCCACAGTGGGCTGGGCTCCCTGCAGACAGAACCCATAATGAAGGACTGACTGAGGACGACTTCTTGGGTTGAGACACCTGGGCCCCTCCCCCAGCTCTACAGTCAGCGCTCCATGACTCACCACGACAGACCAATCTCCCCATTCCCACGCTGGGGAGGTCGTGAGGAGGACCCCTCTCCTCCCCGAGCAGGCCTGGCTATTCAGGCTCCTTGGCAGCGCCTCCCGTGAGAACGAAACTCACTGAAATAAATCAGGAGGAGTTCAATGCCTTCACTTCATGTGGATGCTCCTTGCTCCCTCCCAGTTTCTAGCTGCTGGCTGACGACTGCTGGGCTCTTCCCTAAGCAGAGCCAGAGGACAAGGTAGGCTCAAAGCCCCTGGCCCATGGGCAGCTACATCCCTAGCTGTGCTCACCACCGTTCCACTGCCACTGCCCCACAGAGCTGCCCCTCCCTCCAGTCTGCTCCTCACCGTTTTGGCGAGAACAAGGGCGTCACTCATGAGGTCTAGAAGAGGGGTCTGGGTGTGAACGTTGTAGAAAGAATAAGCAGCCTTTAGACTCTTGTGGGTTGGATGGTTCATGATGGTGGAGGGAAGCGTATAAAAGCTCAGGAAATCTGTCACCTCACCATTTGCATTCTGAAGGGAAGACAGTGAGAGGAGGCAATGTCACACATGCACGGGAATCCTGTAGGCTGGGAACACATGGTTTTCTCTTGCTCTCACGTCACCCACAGGCAGCTCTGCCCCCCTAAACAATTGGGTGGAAGCTGAAACAGAATATGCAGGGAGGAGGAAGTACACTGGCCGGGCCCTTGAGGACAGAGCCAGAAGGAAAATCCAGGCTAGAATGTGGGCTGAGCCTGTCAGCTCTTTCCTGGCCTGCGCTTCCCCAGAGACTTCTTGTGGCTCACATTCCCCCGACGTGTGTCCCCAGTGCCTGACCAGCACTACCTCAAGCCACGACAAGCAAGGATTGCAGGCTTACCTGACTAAGGGGCCGTCTCTGTCATCAATGGGGACTAGGGGTGGCGGGAGGGAGAAGGCTCACAGCGAGGCCAGAGGGATCATTTTAGCAAATGCAACCTACAACTCCCTATCTTTAGGGAGGAGCGAGCATGGATGGTCAGGAAGTCTAGGGTGCCAACATGCCCGTCAATCGGTTCTTCAGGCTCCTTGGCAGCGCCTCCCGTTTTCTGACCCCTCCCCCGACCGGGAAACCTAGCCACTTGAGGAGGATGCCGCTCTGTGAATGGTCAGAGGCCCGGAACAGCCCTCCCCACTCACCTCCACCACAAAAGTGTCAATGATATTCTCATGACTGGCGTGAGGTGGAACTGCTTCAGGTACCTGGTGAGAAGCTGGTGAACTACTGGAATGTCCTTTTTTTCCATTGGTCGCAGTCCAGCTGTTTTGGGAGACTGGAAGGAAGAGAGACAAAACAGCATCAGATGTGCTGACTGTGAGCATCCTGACTCCTCTCAGGTCCTATAGGCACCAGAAACGTCAATGTCTCCCTTGTTACCCGACTTCAGATCTATGCACCCAGGCCCTCAACACAGAACGCTCGGTCACCCTTGGCAACGCCCTCTCTCCCGCTGTCCATATCCACTCAGGCACAAGTCTTGCTCTCCAGGGTCTTCTGGCCCCTTCCCTCCTATTTAAGGCTGTGGCTTCAACCTCTTATCCATATGCCCCAGGCCATCTTCCTAAGAAACACAACTCGCCACACCCCTCCCTTGTTCCAAACTCCAACACAGAGCACATGATCTATCCCGATCTATCCCTGAACCGGGTGGCTGTTTTGACTGCCTTCTGTCCCTCTAGTTCAATGGTTCTCAACAGAGCAAGTCTGCCTCCCTGGCTCCCTGCCCCCCTGCTCCTGGACATTTGACACCACCGGGAGACATTTCTGGTTGTTACAAACTAGCAGGAGAGGTACTGCTGGCATTTGATGGGTAGAAGCCAGGGATGCTGCTAAAGCCAGGACAGCCCCCATGACAAAGAATTACCCAGCACAAAACGTGAACGGTGCCAAGATGGAAGGAAACCCTGACCACCCGATGGGTGTACTGGGGTAGGCCCAGTCCAGTGCTGCTCCTGGGCTTCCACGAAGACTTTCCTGGCTCCTCTCCTCTGAGCCCTCACCACCTCCCATTGAACTGGATCTCGTCCTATACTGGTCTCTCTCCTATAGACTTAGAGCACCTCACAGACTGGCTCTCAGCTGCAGGCACTGTGGAACCCCCGGGCCCAGATCTGTACTGGGTGCTTGTTTTGTCCATTTGGATGCCACTGTACTAGTAGTCCCCTAACAGAACACTCACGCAAGTTAAATTCCGAAAAGCACTGATTTCCTGGAATTTAACCTCAAACAGAAAAAAAGGCTTCAGTGGAATGAGGCCATGTGATGCTCTGAAGTTATACTGGGACTGAGAGAATATTCCCAAAGACTCAATCTGTAAAGGTGGGGTCAGCCAAATCTGACAACAGGGTGGAGTTATAATTTATATACCTCAGGCACTGCCTGATGTAACTGCTTCCGAGTGTAGGGATTGCTTTTAAAATAGCAGTTTCAGGACTTGTCGCTGCTAAAATTCCTTGCTAATCCTGATGCTGCAGGGAACAGTGACTGACTTGTTTCTACAAGGCAGCGCCCACAGTGACCCTAAAGCAGTCATGCGGAGGCTCCTCAGCCAAGGCGGGGAGACCTGGAGGCATTCTTTGGTTGCTACACACCTTAAGAATGCTCTCCGACGACCTAGAAATCAGGACAACTCTGTCATAATAACCGAAACTCGGCCCCCCGAATCTGCTTCTTTTGGACAGTGTCTAACCGCTGCCACAGTGCCTCAAAATCGGACACGAATGACCCCAATCCAGTGGGGGGTTAGCTTGATCCCAGGGTGATTAATCCAGTTGAGTGGCTTAATCAGGCCCAGGCAGGCAGCCCTCTCAGAAGCAAACACCCAATAATTGTGACGCTGCCTGGAAGAGGCCTAAGGGAACAGAAGCGATCGGAAGACCCATTAGGACCTTGAAGCCAGGTGCACCTGGAGAGCACGGAACACTTGCTTTGCTGGGAAACTAGGCAAATTGAGGCCCAGAACAGAAAACCAGCTCACTCCGGGTTGCCCATCCTTTGATGGCAAAGTCTGGATGGGGACACTGGAGTTAGAAATCTGGGCTTCCCTCACAGCCCGGTCCTCCGTCCTCTACTTGACTTGGCAGAGGGGGCAGCAGACACTCGATGGCTGTTACACTGGGCTCTGGGAGGTAGTGCAGTTCAGGGAGAGGACTCGTCTTTCTATTTAGGCACATTTAG